AGAGAAAGAGAGAAAAGAAAAGAAAGAAATAAAGAGAAAAAAAGAGAAAAGAGAAAAAGAAGGAAGAGGGAAAGAAAGAAGAGTGTGGAAGGGTCTGGATGATATTTATGCATACATGTCATATCTAGTAGAATCACCAATCTTCAATTTCATTTTCAGACGCACTAAAATCTTTAGAACGGACGGCCTTGCCGCTCAGTGGAAAATGACATCAGAAACTTGCAATTCAATGAAAATAATAACCATAATAACACAACATACATTGCCACCACGCTATCTTTTGCAGGGGCTTATTTGGTCAATAAAGTAAATAAAGGTTCAAGGCTCTGCCGAATTGAAAAGGGAAGAGAAGCCAGGCTACTCGCCGCCCAACTGTCACTCAAACAAGCTCTATTCTCCTGGGCCTACAGGGTATGTGTATGTATGTATATGTATGTATATGTATGTAAAGTGTGTACGTATGTATACCTGTATGCATGCATGCATGCATGTATTATGTATGTATGTATGTATGTATGTATGTATGTATGTGATGAATGTATGAATGATGTATGTATGTATGTATGTACATATGTATGTATGTATGCATCTGTGCATCCATGTAAGTATCTACCTGTGCAAATATATATATTTGTATGTATATATGTATGGATGTATGTATGTAGGGATGTATGTATGTATGTATGTATGTAGTCATGTATGTATGATGTACATGTTGTATGTAGGCCTATGTATGTATGTATGTCATGTATGTATGTATGTATGTATGTATGTATGTATGCATGTATGTATGTAGGCATGTATGTATGTATGTATGTATGTAGGCATGTATGATGTATGTATGTATGTTTGTATGTATGCATGTATGTACATATATATGTATGCATGTATGTACATATTGTATGTATGCACATATGTATATAATGTATGTATGCATGCATGTATGCATGTATGTATGCATGTATGTATGTATGCATGTAGTATGTATGTATGCATGTACATATGTATGTATGTATATATGTATGTATGTACACATGTATGTATGTATGTGTGTATGCATCTGTGAATCCATGTAAGTATGTACCTGTGCACATATGTTATGTATGTTGGTTGGTGTATGCATGTTATGTATGTATGTATGGTTGGTTGGATGTATGCATGTACGTATGTATGTATGTATGTATGTATGCATGATGTATGTATGCATGTATGTATGCATGTACATATGCATATATGTATATATGTATGTATATATGTATGCATGTACGTATGAATGTATGCATCTGTGCATCCATATAAGTATGTGCCTGTGTACATATGTATGTATGTATGTGTGTATGTAATGCATGCATGTTTGTATGTGTATATCTGAGTAAAAGTGTGATGTGTGGGAGGTGTGGGGGTGCGCTTGTGTGTGTGTGTGCTTGTGGTATATGCTTGTGTTGTTATATGCGTGTGTGTATATGTGTGTATATATTGTATGTGTTGTATATGTATTGTATATGTGTGTATATGTATGTATATATGTGTGTGTATGTGTGTATATATGTGTGTGTTGTATGTGTTTATGTGTATGTGTGTTGTGTATATGTGTGTGTATATGTGTGTGTATATGTGTGTGTATATTGTGTGTGTGTATGTGTGTGTATGTGTGTGTTATATGTGTGGTGTATTATGTGTGTGTCATGATGAGTGTGTGTTGTGTGTGTGTGTGTGTGTGTATGTGTGTATGTGTGTATGTGTGTATATGCGTGTATATGTGTTGTGCTATATGTGTGTGTATATGTGTGTATATGTGTGTGTATATGTGTGTGTGTACGTGTGTGTGCGTGTCTATATGTGTATATGGGTGTGTGTGTGTGTATATGTATATATGTTGTGTGTTGTATGTGTGTGTGTGTTTGTGTGTGTGTTGTGTTGTTGTGTGCGTATGCGCATGTGTATGCGTGTGCGTATGTGTGCATAAACGTGTGGATATATATGCGTATGCGTGTGCATATACGTGTGTGTATGCGTGTGGATATGCGTATGGGTGTGCGCGTGAGAGGGTAGGTGTGAGTGTGTCCATTACATGAACCGCTAAACGTAAATTACCGGTGCGTCGCCATCTCGGCCAGAAAGATGTCGCTGTCATCACTGTAGTTGCTAGTGACAATGCCTTGCAACTGAAGGAGAGTGTTGGGATTTAACACGATCGGCATGAAGGGGCCCGTGAGTATGCCCAGAGGGACGTAGGAGCTGGACAGGGTTCTGAACACCTGCAGCGTCACCTCTACAACCGCCCCTCCGTCTTCGAACACCTGTAACGGTTACAATACGCAATTACGTCCATCATAATTAACCCCCTGCGTAAACCTTTTCTGAATATATAATTTCACCTTAAAAATCACATTCAATAAATGTAAATGCAAAGGATATTCGACCTCATCTTACCTTGACGATAGTTCCCTCGGTCTTAATGTTGAAAAGTTCATTCAGATACATCATACACCAGAAGTTCCCGTGTCCGAACATGTTGAGGAACTTGCTGAACCTTCTCTTCGGAGACATCTTCAGAACCAGCCAGTCGCCAGCCATCTACAAACAACAGAAAAAAAGTATCATTAATCAAGTCCACACCTGACAGCGCCATAGGAGCTTCCAACCTCTGCACATCCCACAATGCATTTCGTCAGTCATGATCCTCGACACGATTCCGAACCCTTCGATCACGTGACCCGTAGGGAAGAACCTCATTTACTCTTTAGTCCTATCAAAAGGTCAGTTCTTGATTAGAAGTTTTCAAAGTTCAAGAGTTATTTTTATCACATGTACAGAAATGGGAGGAGAAAACTACGAAAAAGGCCAAACAAAGAGGCAGACAATAGTGCTGAAAAATTATAACAATGATAATGATGCTGGTGATGGTGATAGAGATCGTGGAATAATGGCATAGTAATTAGGCCGTGGTGTTTGCAATCTGCACAGTGAAAGTAGCAACAAGACAAGAGGAAGTCTGAAAAGCAAAACAGTCATCCAGTTAATCCACTAGAGAGAGAAAAAAACAAGACTCTTTTTCTTTAACAAATAATAAAGCGGGGAAATCGATACATAGTTTAGGCACATTATACAATAAATACAGAAATCAAATGAAGTTAAGACAGAAGAACGCAAAGTATAAGAGGTAAAAGTATGTAGAGCAAGTAGCGTGTTTATCTACAATTCAGAAAAGAGAAGGAAAGTGGTCCCCCCCCCCAAAAAAAAGAAAATAAAAAAAAAAAAAACGTAACTCGATAAATCAATTGGAGTTGACGGTACTTGAAGGAAGACTCGAGACCAACGCCAATCTGATAATAAATTGGAAAAAAGACAGGCCCGATAGGATAGACACGAAATCAAATACGAAGAAAATAAAATAGAAAACGAAAACGAGGGAGACAGAAAACGGTGTCACAAGGCACTCACTGACGAAGGCTTTTACTTCATTTTTCCCTCGACTAAATATCAGAATCACTAGGGGGACAAAAAACTCCGTCTTCGTATGGATGCTAGGATATATATAAAGCAAATTCAGACCCTATAAATGAAATCCCCTTATGCAAGTTAAACGCGCTTATAGTGAAAAATGGGCTGCAAGAATTCGACAGGGAAATTATAAACTATGAAGACAAATTAAAGACCTAGTGTTACCTGGTAAGGCGCTGAAAATGCTGTATAGTGCTTGCGGGGATATTTGTGTTAGATCTACGGGGAAAATGTGGGACTAATAGATATACTGCTGGCAAGTTAAGGAGAATGACAGCTGACGATGACACAAAGAAAAGACTAAATCAGAAACTAGAATTTAAAAAAAAAAATCAAACGTGCACGAGTAACCAAAATATGCCTATCTGAAAAAAAATGTTAAAACTATTACAAATCATGTGAAATGTTTTATTTCTTAGACCAACAATAAATCAAAGAGAAGGATCGAGACTGACCACAGACTAAATCAATATCTTGTCATATATATATATTTTCTTTTCTCTCTATTTGTCAAAATTACTGCCGCAAAAGATTGAAGGCGGTAGACACGCCCTCCGACATGGGCGTCCGGAGATGAATAGACCGATTCTTGTGGTCGCTTCTCCTTTTCACTCCCAAGACGTCCTGAGGGTTCCATCAAGACCCAATATTATCATCTTCCAGATAATACACGAAATGCGTTTGGGGAGGACAAGCTTAAAGATGGATTTAGAACCCTTTTGTTTGCAATTGGTAATGTCAGAACATTACGAAATTCAATACTGATATATCTAGTTATTAGGTTTTATTCAACATAAAATCCAAGACAAAATAAAAGACATGAATAATGACAATAACTCTAGTCATCTAAGGCGAAGTTACGTGTGGGTGGAATATAAACACTTTTCTTTTTCTTTCCATTTTTAGGTAAGAGATCCAAACCCTCTATTACTATGGAAAACTTGTGTGATTCCAACACTAGATCAGTGTCGGATGGGGAATCCAAATTACACAAAATTATGTAGTAGGTCTTATCATTCCAAAATTAGACGTGAGGTAGACTAAACAGGGAAAAAAAACGTGTGGCTATTCTTTGTAAGAAAAAAAATCGTGTATTAGATCCAAACGAGGGAGAAATTACACCAAGGCATTCCCTAAAACATTCCATAAACACGCTATCGTACTGGGACAATTACACAAATATGCTTACTGAAGAAGATTCATAATTAAAGTTTCTTAATGGTTCACGTGTGTTTCAAACGAATAACATAAAAAAAAACATAACTGAATATATGGTATTGTTAAGAAATGAAATTTAACGACAGGTTAATTTCACTACACGAGGAACCACCAGTAATAACAATCAAAGAAAGGCCGAATCAAACGTTCAGCCCAAACTCCCTCATCACGTTCAGCCCAAACTCCCTCATCAGTTCAGCCCCAAACTCCCCATCACGTTCAGCCCAAACTCCCTCATCACGTTCAGCCCCAAACTCCCTCAGCACGTTCAGCCCAAACTCCCTCACTTCAGCCCAAACTCCCTCATCACGTTCAGCCCAAACTCCCTCATCACGTTCAGCCAAACCCCCTCATCACGTTCAGCCCAAACTCCCTCATCACGTTCAGCCCAAACTCCCTCATCACGTTCAGCCCAAACTCATCACTTCAGCCCAAAACTCCCTCATCACGTTCAGCCCAAACTCCCTCATGTTCAGCCCAAACCCCTCATCACGTTCAGCCCAAACTCCCTCATCACGTTCAGCCCAAACTCCCTCATCACGTTCAGCCCAAACTCCCTCATCACGTTCAGCCCAAACTCCCTCATCACGTTCAGCCCAAAACTCCCTCATCACGTTCAGCCCAAACTCCCTCATTCAGCCCAAACTCCCTCATCACGTTCAGCCCAAACCCCCTCATCACGTTCAGCCCAAACCCCCTCATCACGTTCAGCCCAAACCCCCTCATCACGTTTCAGCCCAAAACTCCCTCATCACGTTCAGCCCAAACTCATCACGTTCAGCCCAAAACACGTCCAGCCCAAACTCCCTCATCACGTCAGCCTCATCACGTTCAGCCCAAACTCCCTCATCACGTTCAGCCCAAACTCCCTCATCACGTTCAGCCCAAACTCCCTCATCACGTTCAGCCCAAACTCCTCATCACGTCCAGCCCCAAACCCCCTCATCACAGCCCAAACTCCCTCATCACGTTCAGCCCAAACCCCTCATCACGTTCAGCCCAAACTCCCTCATCACGTTCAGCCCAAACTCCCTCATCAGCCCAAACTCCTCTCATCACGTTCAGCCCAAACTCATCACGTTCAGCCCAAACTCCCTCATCACGTTCAGCCCAAACTCCCTCATCACGTTCAGCCCAAAACTCCCTCATCACGTTCATCCCTCATCACGTTCAGCCCAAACTCCCTCATCACGTTCAGCCCAAACTCCCTCATCACGTTCAGCCCAAACTCCCTCATCACGTTCAGCCCAAACTCCCTCATCACGTTCAGCCCAAACTCCCTCATCACGTTCAAAACTCCCTCAAAACTCCTCGCAATGACAAAAGGCGGGCGTCACCTCGGATGACCCTGACATGATCCACACCAGGTAACCACGTGAGTAAGTACACGCCTGCCGTTCATTTGCGGCCATAGAGGTCGAAATGGGCCTTCCCTCTCTCCATTACGCTAATGGTCCGTGTGCGTTAACGGAGAGGGAAGGAGAGGATGGCGCAGCGTAGTGACCATATCTAAAGGACCATATCGTTGCGGCGAGGTGTATAGTGACGTCACTCGCTGCGAAAGGTTCCCACGTGAAGCTCGCTCGCGTTATCTTACCCAAATGAGGCCTTCGCTATCTTTAGGACGGGCCCTCAGGACCTCGCCGCACGACAGCGAACTCGCCGTGACCCAACAGCGCACGAGGGGCAGGGGAATGGGGGGGGGGGAGGTGACGGTGGGCGTGAGGTTTGGTCGATCTCCCGATGTTGGGCGTAAACAGGAAGGATTAGATTCATCAGCCACTGCCGGCCTGAGATTTGAAGGATTCGTATACACACAGGCACTGAAACGCACAGACACTGACGCACAGACACACACACAGGCACTTACACACACAGGCACTGAAACGCACAGACACACACACAGCACGAAAACGCAACAGACACACACACAGGCACTATGAAACGCACAGACACACACACAGGCCACTAAAACGCACAAGACACACACACAGGCACGTGAAACGCACAGACACACACACAGGCACTGAAGAGCGCACAGACACCGACACACAGGCCACTTGAAACGCACAGACACACACACAGGCACTGAAACCGCCACAGACCTCACACACGACAGGCACTGAAAAGCGCAACAGACACACACACCAGGCAACTGAAAAACGCACAGACACCAACACACAGGCATGAAAATCGGCACACAGACACACACACAGGCACTTGAAACGCACAGACACACACAACAGGGCAACTAAACGCACAGAGACACACACACACGGCACATGTGATGTGTGTAGAGACGAGAGACGAGAAGATACGAGAGGGGGAGGGAGAGACTGAGAACGAACGGGGGAGAGGCAGCACGCACACGACTTATAGAGAGAGGGGAGGAAGATGGAGGAGAGGCAGGGCAGCTATCTGGAATCCACCTTCGCTTTACGTTCAGACTCTAACAATACTCATGTAGTCTCTTACCCGGCACTTAGCTGTCTATTGCCTGTGCAGTCTTGCGCTTAATTATCGTCGCTGGTCACGTCGCAGGACGACAACCACAGGGCGACTGTAAACGCACAGACACCACAGCACACCAGGCACTGAAGAACGCAACAGACCACACACAGACATGAACCACCACGAGTAATCAATGAGACGCCACACTCATTGCGTAAAGGAAAGGGCTGTGGATGCCTCTTCTACCTCACTGATTAGGCTGCGGCGGACACGAATTAAATTGTTCAAGTAACTCTCTATCTTCCGGTTGTGTTGTTTCTTTTTTTTCTTTCTCTCTCTGAGATTCTCTTGCTTATGTTCGTCCAGTTTTTCTATTGGTCTTCTCTCCTACTTTCTCGTTTTTT